GGCCAAAGAATTAAAAAGACACGGTGTAGAGTTAACTTTTAGGACAAATAACAAGACTATGAACAAACTTAATGTTACGAGAAAGGTTATTGATAAGGGTGACAGGTCAGGGGTATACAGAATTAAATGTGCTAGTTGTCCTAGTGTTTATGTAGGAAAAACGGGGCGCACTTTTAAAACTAGATATAAGGAGCATCATCCGAAACCGAAAGCTGACAAACAAAAGTCTACATTTGCCCAACATCTAATGGACAATAATCACGACCTAAATGACCTCAACACTGGCTTGGAAATCCTTCACACATGTACAAAAGGCAATAAATTGGACACCCTGGAAGAATTTGAAATTTACAAAGCACATACAAAAAATGACATTAGCGAACTTATTTTAAATGACAAACTACAATTCAAATCACATGTAATTTTCAATAGTATTTTAAGTCAGAGGAAGGATTCAAGACCAAGAGGGCAAAGTACAAATGATAATGCCGCCACTGACACGACACCGCAAGAATGACTCCAGTCAGCTACTTGCTCTTGTGCGGATATGTCTAATCAACAGGCCTGTTTAGTCAAAAACCCCTGTTTATGTTTATGTATGTGTACGTCGCGTGTGACAGTTTGTGTTTTTGTATATTAACGACGCCACTAAGGCTGAACGTCTGATGATGGCATGGATATGCTGAAACGGCCGTAACAATGTTATAACTTCTATGAGCTGATTGACGAAGGTAACCTTATTTATTGATTTAGTCACTATTATTAGCCTAGTGTAAGTATATGTGGTGGTAATCCTCCTTAAGGTGCGATTGATTTACATATTCTACAAAAAAGGGCCTATTTTCTAATCAACGTTTAATTACTAACTATTTTGCGACTGGTTAGAGTTCCATTACCCAGTTAACGAAACTAATCACGACAAAAATACTTTTTGTTAGTTTTAAGAAACGGAAATTACCTCTACGTTCTACTGTTATATATAGGTGCTTTCTTTTCTACCGTGCATGCTAGGCTTATTATTTGAACCTATTTTGCTTGGAGCAATTAACAAAGTACTTAAGTAGGCCTACTTAAGTACTTAATGAACAAATACCTGTACAAACCTACTTCATCTTTATTCCCAAATTGTTTTCTAAGAGTAACCGTTGAGGCTATTCCACTTCATACAAAATATTGATTAAACACTACAATAAATCTCAAATATAAATGTTAGTAAATTTACAAAAAAGTTAGGGATAGATCTTTAACATATGTTTTGAAATCAAAACAAAGAAGATCTTATTTTAATCTTGAATCGTTTCTTTAATCTTGAAAACAATTTATTTCAACTTTGACATAACTAAAAAGTCTTGATTATTAAGGGTCACGTTATCCCTTTATATAGTTTGCTTTATATATAGTATACATTACATTGCAGAATTGACTGGCAAATGAGTAATCCAAATATGAGCTTACTTGCTTAATGATAAATCACGATCAGCTGTATTGAAGTAAACAAAAATCAGCAGTAAATGCCTTCAAATGCTATTCTTATGGAGAACATTTTACGTTATATCTAATTTTGTGTTAAGATTTTGGGAATTTCACTATTTTTCCCGCCGTCACGGGATCAAGACCTTTAATTTGAGCCCTCTCCCGTCGTTCTACGACTTCCCAGTCGCTCACAATTTTGACGCAAAGAATCGGCTTACGTAATTAATATATAGATATATTATCCAAGAAAATCTAATTTATGATTTTTGATTGACTAATACAGTACGGTATCTTGAGCTTAACTGATTCAAACGATCAATAAATCAAATTAAACCCTATACGTTACTGTGTATTTTGAGTCCAAACATATAAAAATCATGAACAATACTGGAGCTATTGATTTTTAATCATAGAAATGTAGCGTGTCACCGTCCCTAAACCAAGTGTTGATTTAGTTGTTTTTTTGCTTTTGTATTTGCTTTTGTATTTAGGTCAAGTTGTAACAGTTTCCTTAGTTCTTTTCGGCCTTTTAGGCTGATCTAACGGCGAATCATGTGATTTCAATGCAAGTGTAAGAACAAAAGAGACGCGTTGTAGTTACTATGATCCCGTATTTGAATAGGGAGGGACACACGGGCTTAATCGCATTTCACCCGCTGTACCAATATTAAAACAAGAAATCTGTCTGGCTTAATATTTTTTTAGTAAATTATTATTATTAAGCCTCTTAAAATACAGAGGTTATCTTATTTACTAAATGCATACTACTTTGTACTTATAAACAAATCACTTTAAACCAGATAAAAGTTGATTTAATGACAAAAGTATCAGGGATTAGAGAAGTTGTCATAATTTTTTCATAGTTTTTAAGTTATCAAAATCATACAATTAATTGTAAGTCTAGGAACATATTTAGGGACATTTTAGGACATAAGGGAATTTGGTCTTCGGCAAAAGTTGCACAAATTAATACTGTTCAAAAACACAAGAAAATGTAAATTGTAAAATTGTAAATGTCTTAACAATTGTATTGTATTGAAATATTATTGTCATACACAAATGGTTTGTTTCGTAAATAATATGTTTTTTCTCATAATTATTCTAAACCTTTTGGGGCTCGTTTCATTTGGCACTCCAACTGAACAAATATATGACTTTGGTTAAGTTCGCTGCATGAAGCATAATTTATTACTAATATGAAAAATCTCATATATTAAAAAAAAACTAGTGTACATGTTGCTCGAATTCGAGCAATTGCAAAGTATTACAGGAGTTATTTCAAAACGAATAACAGTCATATTTACAATGAGTTTAAAAGAGTCAACTCAAAGATTACCGGTGTGTAACTCAGACCATGTTTATCTTCGTTATTAATAAACCTAAAGCATTCCGGCCGGTTTTCTCGTTCTCAAAATACCTCGCTGTACATGCAACACAGGGCATTGATAGAGGGCCAATTGGGAAAGAAAAGTTGTTTTCTTAACTGATTCAAACGATCAATAAATCAAATTAAACCCTATAAGTTACTGTGTATTTTGAGTCCAAACATATAAAAATCATGAACAATACTGGAGCTATTGATTTTTAATCATAGAAATGTAGCGTGTCACCGTCCCTAAACCAGGTGTTGATTTAGTTGTTTTTTTGCTTTTGTATTTAGGTCAAGTTGTAACAGTTTCCTTAGGTTTTTCGGCCTTTTAGGCTTATCAACGGTGAATCACGTAATTTCAATGCAAGTGTAGGAACAAAGAGACGTGTTGTAGTTACTATGATCCCGTATTTGAATAGGGAGGGGGCACACGGGCATTGTCATCTAGGTATTAATCGCACTTCTCCCATCGTACTGTCGACATCATTGCTCTTGCTCATAATTAATATATACTCACACATTCGCATCTAATAGTTCAAATAAACCTTAAGTATTCAGCATCAAAATTATTATTATTATTTTATCTTCCCCATCTCATTAGGGCCTACTACTATTAAATTAGAGTAGTGGTGGCAGTGATACCTCTTGAAGACCCTTGACTTTTCTCAAGATCGGGACAGAAAAATTTCAAGAAAATAGTTTTTATATTGGTTCCTCACCTTGCGTTTGCTTGAAACTCGTCCGATTTGAATAACTAATAGCTTATGTGAAAGCCGGTATTTCACTGAAGGTTCTTAAAATATATAGGATATATAGGATTATATAAGATTATATAGGTATATTATATAGGATTATATAGGTATATACGATTATATAGGTATATAGGATTATAAAATTATAGATTGTGAAATAAATCCTAAATTGATGTGAGAATTCAAAAACGAATAAAATTATGTTCTTTAGTAAAAAAAACAAACTTTTTGGCAAATCTCTACGTGCTACCTTTTACTTTTAGACCTCAATCATTGAAATCGGTCGGGTAAAAGAGCCAAATGAACTCAGAAAATAAAAACCTATCTATATAATTAATACGCTACATGAAACTTTGTCGGTTGAACTCCTCCGCCATTTCTTAACCAATTTTATCCATTGACGTCTCATTGGAAATAGCGTGTCGCGTAGATTTGCAAACTGGCCTTGCATTTTTGAAAAAGTCCCTTGGGCTCTGCCCCAGTGGCTTTAAAGTTTCCATGTTATCCTTTTGAAGAACATAATTGTTTACATTTCGATCAGCTGTATAATTTAATTGCTATTATTTATTTTTCAATTCAATGAGACACATTGAGTAAATTTATTTACTATTTGAGTTTGTGTAAACATAACCCCCAAGACGGATCGTTTAAGTATGGTTGTATCTTAAATTTGTGTACTTATCGTTGTTTTGTGTTGCTATGACGGATCGTGTTAGCATGAATGTAACTTAAATTTGTGAATTTATTGTTGTTTTGTGTAGCTATAGTTTGTTTATTTGTTGTTTTTTTTTAAATGCCTCCAGCGCGACGAAAACAAAACATAGACAGGAGGCGTAATCGTGATAACGACCGCAGCTACAGAACAGTGGCGCGTAATAGGCTTAACCACAGCCGCTTAACTCATCACAGTCAGCACCTGACCCTGGACAAACTCAACTATTAGGTTACAAATGCGCCCTAACACTACCCCAAAACGACTTTTCTTTCTCAATTGGCCCTCTATCAATGCCCTGTTTTGCATGTACAGCGAGGCATTTTGAGAACGAGAAAACCATAAAAATCATAATGAACATTTGATTTTCTCGGATAATATATTTATTTTAAAGCTGTGGATCAGCATGGGTCCTCTCCTACATGTTAAATGCATAAAAAACACAAGATTAAACATTAAAAACATAAGTGTGTATGCTAAATTAAGTTAATTAATCATTAGCTATGATAACAGCTTTATAATTAATTTAAAAAGTGGCAATAACAAACCGTAATTACTGTAGTAGATTTAAGAATCAATATAATCTAAAAAAGAATTATTTTGATATAAAACATATACCATAATCTCCGCAATTTCATGCAGATTACAACTGTGTAAACAAATTGACAATCGAGCCACTATGAACAGAGATATAGCTTATTTTGTGAGCGCAAACGCGGAAACGCCATAAGACGTGATGAGTAAGAGAGAGACAGTAACAACCTTAGTGGTGGGGGGAGCGGCGGACCGATATGCGTCTATCTCTGAGCAGTACAGCGTGCGATCCAGTTGTAATAATAGAGATCGATGTGTACTATAGTTCGGCCGCTTAGAAAGCGACCTCCTCCAGCATTAGTTTAGCATTAGCGCGCAGGTCGTTTTCTAACCGGCCGAACTATAGTGCCTGAAGATGGAAACCTAGTTTCTGAAAGGGCTAGTGAATAAAATAAAATTATTGTATATTGGCCTTGTTGAACTTGTAAATTTAATTATACATTTCATTATGTTTAATTTTGTGTTTAGTGTCATCAGTTTTAAATAATCTGTATTGTTTTTCAAGCTCCACAATGTTTAGTCTTTTTCTTTTAGTGTCAAGAGATATCCATGGATTGTTATTGTTAATCTTTTTAGTTTTTTACGTTTTAGGAAAGCTGTTGTATCTATACTCAACACAAATAGAACTGGCAGGTGAAGGTAATGTTTTTAAATAGGCCAGCTGCTATTAATCAACCGACAATTCTATTTAAGTTGACTATAGTGATGTACTTAATGATATACAGAATACACATACATATCCACAGACAAAGTGTATCGATTCAAAAAGAAAATAATGTTTAGAAGTATAAAGAAGTATTTACAAGTAATTATTTTCTACCATCACGATGAATTGCAGCAGTGTGCTGTTTCAGATGTGTAATTCGTTTAAAACTGTCACCACATTCAGGACAAGATATTGGTCGCTCTTCAGAATGGGTTATCATGTGTTGTTGTAAATTACATTTCCTCTTGAAACCTTTGTCACAAATTGCACAAACAAATGGTAAAACTGTGGAATGGACAGTCTTTTTATGAGATCTGAAAGAGTGTGAATGCCTAAACTTCATCCCACAAACATCACACTGATAAGTTTTGATAATATTATGAGCTTCTTCCTTGTGTTTCATCAACTGTATCTGTGTTGCAAATGCTTCTGAGCATTTACCACACTTTTTCAGCTTGTGCTCTCTTTGATGTTTTGTGTGCTTGAACCGAGATACAAACCCTTTACCACAAACCAAACACTTGAATGGTTTGGCAACCTCAGTACCTTCAGGAACTCGATGACCGTCTTCATGAGCCAATAAATGCTCTCCACTTTGTGTCATGTAGCCACAAAAACAACATAAAAAGTTGTTTTTTTTAACATTTAAATGCATTTTTTTATGATGCATGTGTCTAGCAACTTTGCTATTAAAATGTTTATCACAGTCAACACACTTGAATGGACGTGCATTAGTGTGGGAATTTTTGTGAGCTTCCAATTTGACTAAACCAGATAAACATTTACCACACAAATCACACTGAAATCTTGCTTCTCGTCTATGTCCACCGCACAATGAATATCTACTGTGACGATGATAGGAATCCACAGATTCAAAATGTTTATCACACTTTCTGCAATACTGTTCAGTTTTTGGTTTTGGCAATATTTTTTCTTGTACTGTCCTTTTAACTGGCATTAAAGGAAGTTTAAGTTGAAAATTATATTTGTCTGGTTTTATTTGTTCAGATTTGGTGTTAGCTAATGGCATGGTTGGAAAAGGAGTTTTAACACCATTCTCAGACATGTGATGGTTGGTTAAAATGTAATTTGTTCCAAGGGCTGGAGGTGGTATGAGGGACAACACAGGAGGCTGTGACACATTTAAAACAGGCAAAGTATAAATAACATTATTATACAATATGGCTGATGTTGTAGGCATATTCCAATTATTCTGCGCATTTGTACTGGTTGTCAAAGAAGAAGATAAAGTCAAATTATCTGTCAAATTTTTACTAGACATTGAAGACAAATTTGATTTTTTTGAAAAACTTTTATTGCTCAGTTTAGTGTTGGACATAATACTTTTTTCTGCCAATGTATTTACCCTGCATTTTAAATTCTTTTTTAGGGGAATAGTTTTTTTATTTTTTGTACATTCAGCTGGATTTAAATCTGTAACATTGTTATTTTTCAATTGTTTTTTAAACATCATACTGTTTTTCCTTTTATTCCATCCAGTCAAAACTTCCTTTTCCCAGTCACTTCCACTACTATCACCAACGTCAGTGTTATCATCCCTGCCACTTGAATTATTATCATCAACTTTAGTACAATCATCTCTCTCCCTCACACTTATATCCTCATTCTTGACTTGTACATCTGTGTTAAAGTCAGTTTTCAGTAACAAATTACTAGAAGGTAAAGGATCTATATCCACAAAGCGTTCTTTAATTTTGAACACCATTCTAAAATCTTCATCACTCATTTTGTTTTCTGTCTTCGTAATAACATTCTTTTCTGGTTCATTTTTGATCATCTGGTTTTCACTTTTTGGTTTTGTTAGATTATTTGAAAAAGTTACTCCCTCTTTCAAAACTGAGCATCTTCGAATTTCCACACTATTTCCAATGGAATTTAGCTCTTCAAATTGTGTAGTATTACTGAGAATCTAAAACACAAAAGAATTTTTGTAAACACTTACATAAAATCATCATGGAGTGAAGTGCCTGGTAAAAAAAATTAGGTATATTTTATACAATATTACATTTTATAATGAGGGAGTGTTTCAGCAAACTACGTCGATACTCTTCGTAACGCAGAACATTACCAAGCGTCATTTTCTATTCGTCAGACTGAAAAAGCTACGTACATGGGGAAATTAAAAAAAAAAATAAATTGCCATTGAATTGAATTTAAAAACTGGCATGGATAAAAAATGTTTTAGAGATAAAGTAAAAGCTTATCTCTTAACAATAAATTGCTACTCTATTGAAGAGCTTTTTATTTGGTTTTTATTCACCTTTTAAATCTGACAACAATCTTAGTTTTAAATCTATCAGTTTGTAATGTATATCTCTTTTCATATTTGAATTTTCCGTATGCTTTCTTAATGTATAGATTTGTTTATATTAAAAATGAAAGTTTTATTTTTTGTATAAAATTGATATCAATAATTATATATTTTAAGATTTCTGTAAAATTATTTGTAGCCTATGTATTATTCATGTATGAACATACAGATTGAATAAAGATTATTGATTCTGATACAGATAATCCCGGCTTTCGAACATTAGTCCTGGGGGGTTCACGAGTCAAGTCCAAGCCTAAAGAACAATAGTGTTTGGTCTTTAACTCAGACCTGGTAGGAGGCAGGTTGAAGGTGACATCATGCCAGTTTTATCTAATTTCCTTTATTTTTATTATTTTTTTCAAACTAATGTTTAAATATGGTTCCTCATTAAATTCTGAACAATTTCATTACCCATGTATATAAAAAATACCCCCGCTGCAGCAAACCTGCCGACTTAGTGAATTTCCATTTGCCTGGATTGATTTTTTATTATTAATCTATTAAATTAACATTTATGTTTAACGAGTACCTCGGTTAGCTGCTACAGGGAAACTAATAAAGTGTGTTTTTTATTAAAATATCAATAGCTTAGAATGAAATAAATGAAAACGCCAAGTTTGATCAAAATTTATCCATAAACAAGCCAACTACGAAATATTTTAATATTCTCCATAAGAATAACATAGGAATTTTTAATTAACAATTTTTTGAATTTTCTCCGTAACCAATTATTGTACAAAAACACTTTGATATACTAAATTATTTGTTTTTTAAGCTCTTTAAAACGGTCAGGAGGAAAATTGATAAATTGTGTGTTTTAAGGTTAAAAAATGAGAAAAACCCATTTTTACCCCATAAAACCCCATTCCCATGGTCCGATCATGCTGGTTCGCGAACTCATTCAAGTTTATCCCGCCTTACACCTTCAAACCAAATTTTATCAAACTCAGACGAAAATTACTCAAGTTATCGTGCCGATGGACACGTATATCTTACTAATCTATATATTAATACGCAAGCAGTTTTCTTTTCACAGTCATAACTCAATAACGGCTTGATGGATTTTAAAGTTTGAGGTGTCAAATTAAAGGTATTTCCACGTAGATGTGCAAATACGTCTCAGAATATTTAGAAAGGGCACCACTTAAGTACACTTAAGGGCTAAAGTTTGGAAGGCGGCGCTATCTGTTGACATTTGATCAAACTCATTTCCCTTTGTTTACAAATAACATATGGACGTAGTTTGAAATAGTTTTTAAGGTTAACCACAGACTGCAGGACTTAAAACTTCCAGAGCAAAGCAGGAATTTATATTTTGTTTCAATCTGTTAACTAAGTCTGGTTCTGGTTCATAAAGAAGAGTTTAAGAATAAATATTTAATAAATATTTTATTCTTTTTGTCTATGGTTAAATTGATTTACCTTACATCGTATTTTACTGATTGTTACAGTTCGATGTGATGAAGTGAATGTTTAAAAGTGATTATTCGCAGGGCAGTTATCCCTTACATTACCATATTATCATGTAATTTACAATGTGTATAAAAATTCCAATTCCATTATAGTGTTTTCTGTTGTTTGGTTAACTTCCTTATTTCATTTAAATTTAAAATCAAATGCCACCAGTACGACGAAGAACTATGAGTGGCTGGAGGGAACGCGAACATGACCGCTTGCATCAACCTCTGAATTGAACATTTGGTGGGTACATAGTGGTAGTATCACAGTTGTGATAGTCCAATCTCGGACAAATGAATGTTAAATCTTTACATTGTAGTAGCTTACATATTTTTAAGCAAGAAAAGACTGGCCAAGACAGTTAAGTTTTTACTCTTTGTTGTCATAAATGAAAGGTTCATTTACCTCATTCGTGCAATTCACAATACCTTCAGGTTCTTATTGGAATCTCCCAATCTGAAAATAGGACTGTGAGACTTATATCCTGAAATTATTTGGATAAAGTTCGTCAATTCAATTCTGTCTTTACCATGGTCAGCACCAAAGCTCATTAAGATGAGAAAGTTCCACAGGAGATCTACAGTTTTAAGAACCGTGACACGTTTTACCACCGAGTGGGTCCTCTAATTCCTCAAGAAGGTGATGATCCTGAATACGCACAGATATATAAGTAAGTACAACAATGTCACTAGAACCCAAAAGAGAATCAAGCACAATTCAAACGAAAAATGCAATAAAAAATATGCGGGAAATAGGGTCACAATGCCAACCCATTTGCAAATCTTTGAAGACTGTGGCAGACATTATGTAGGGACGAGAGCTCCGAGGAGTCAAGTGAGATTCTTATGTACATAATAAGAGACAGAAGAAGTGTCTTCCCTCGCTACAATGGTGCTACCTGTGCAGATGTCGCAGCAATTTTTAAAGCTGAAAACAAAGCACCACCTGGCCAAATAAATCGTATAGTTTTTTCCAACACTAATAATGTTAAACGCGTATCCATACATACATACACATGTATGTAACTCTAAAATACATAAGAACAAATTTCAGAACAACGATATAAATGCTATTAAATCCATTAAAGAAAAGTTAATAAATAACAATAGCATTTTAACTAAATCTGACAAAGGCCAATGTATCGTCATTTTGGACAATAGTGTATACAAAGAGAAAGTTTCAGACTTCATAAAGAATAATAACATAACAGAAATCACTAATGACCCCACAGACACATTCCAGACCAGGTTAAAACATGCATTAAACAGAACTAAATCTATTTTGAACGGTGACCGTTGCAACCATCTAAAAATGATAAAACCAAAGGCTCCAGTTCTCAGAGGTCTACCCAAAATTCATAAGGAACATATGCCTATCAGACCCTTAGTCAACTTTACCTCAGCCCCAAGTTATAAAATCGCCAAACTACTCGACAAGTTACTGAGAAACCATGTTAAACTACAGAACAACTATAGCCTAAAAAATAGCCTAGACTTAGTAGAACAAATTTCCAAGGTCAAAGTTGAGAATAGACACACACTAGCCTCACTAGACATAGTTAATCTATACACGAATGTCCCTATCCAGAAGACCTTAGATATCACTCGTGACAACTTGTCAAACAATTCTGAACTCAGTCCCGAAGCCATTGACGAGCTGATGACTCTATTAAGAATCACTCTAGAACAAAACTATTTTACTTTTGACGGCAAATTTTATCTACAGAATGATGGTTTAGCTATGGGCTCTCCATTATCTAGCATACTATCTGAAATATACATAAACCATTTCGAAAACCAATTTATCTTTTCCGAGGAAAATAAATTCCGTAGTAAGATATTGTTCTACAAAAGATACGTGGACGATATAATTATTGTTTTTAAAGGCAACTCGAGACAAATACAGCTCTTGAACAACTACTTAAATAGCATATCCCCCCAATTGCAGTTTACCTCAGAAATCGAACAAAACCAATCTTTAAACTACCTAGATCTTACGTTAACTAAGGAAAACGACCAAATAAAATTCAAGATTTACAGGAAGCCGACAACCACCGACCATACTATCCATGCCACTTCAAATCATCCCCAAGCCCACAAAATGGCAGCCTACAACAGTTTTGTTAACAGACTAATGAAAATCCCAATGTCCATTGAAGATTACAATAACGAATATCTTATATTGAAACATATAGCTATCAATAATGGTTACCCCAGCAATATTATTGATAAGATTATTAACAAACATAAAAACAAAATTGTTAAACAAAATGAAAAATCTCGCAACTTCGTCTTTGTTGAATTTGGTGCCAGTCTACATTACACTTTAAAGAACGAACTGAAAAAACATAACATCACTTTGGCCAGTAAAACATCAAGCAAATTAGAACGTCATTTGAACCAGTCTAGCTACAAAGATAATACTGACAACCTAGACGGTACTGGTGTTTACAAGTTGACTTGTAACGACTGCCCTAAATTGTACATAGGCCAATCAGGACGCTCATTCAAAACCAGGTTCAAGGAACACCTCCCTAAACCAAAATTGACACAACAGCGTTCCAAATTCGCAGAACATTTGATAAATGCCAACCATAACATCAATAGTTGCCAAAATAATCTACAAATTTTACACAAGTGCAGTAAAGGTGCCCTCATGAACGTTTTAGAGAACTACGAAATTTATAAAGCCACAAAAAAATCCCCCCAGAACGTTCTGAACGAAAAACTAAATTCCGACTCTAACATATTATTCGATAGGATAGAAATTGTCAACAATGTATCTAATGCTAACCATTATCAGCTGACGCACCCCCACCCCAAAGGTCAATGTCACCGCTTCGACAACGGCTAGTTCCGTCGTGTCCGCCGTGCTACCTGCGTCAGTGTGTCTCTTATAAAATGTAGCCGGCTGCTTTATTTAAATGTGCTTTGTGTCGTAAATGTGTGAACTTTATGTGTCGACATGTGTTTGTACCTCTTAACAAAGACTTCTGTCGGATTTTGGACCAATCGATTTGATAAAATGGGTTTGAAAATGGGTCATTTCTGACCCGAAACTAGTCACCCTTTGACTATTTTAGGACTGACGACGGAATAAAAAAGGTACGTAACCTATCATATCAGAATAAGAGTAGCGAT